TATATATATATATATATATATATATATATATATATATATATATATATATATATATATATATATATAAATTTATGTAAATAATTATATATGTAATTATATAATAATTATATATATAATAATTTTTTTATATATATAATTATTAGTAAATAATTCAATATTACTCCACGATAGTTGTATAATTAATATGAAATAGATTTATTTAACATAAAATTCCAATGCAAGGTTTTTTCTTCAAATTCAGAAACGCGGAAGATTTCTTCTTCCTTAAATTTAGAGATACCATACCGTTCAAAATGTTCTGCCACAAGATGCTCACGTAGTCGTCGCGCTCGTATCTGCTCTGCTCGTGTAAGAAGCCGACGGCGTGCATCAGCTCGTGTATCACCGTGCCCTTCTTCGTGACGCAGCCGGGCACCTGAAGGTTGACATCCTGTCGACCGCCGATCCTGCCCACGCTGCTCCAGCAGCCGCTGTTGCCGGCCGTGATCCGGATGTAGTCGCTCTCCTCGCCTCTATACGGCTTGAACTTGATGCACGTGTACCTGTGGTAGTCCTCCATCGCATCGTATATCAATTTCTGTTGTTGCGCATCTGCAATGCAAATATCGCGGGAGAAGTGACACAAGCGAGGTAAGAGTCGAATCGGGTCTTGAGCGACGTCAAAGGCAACCTTCGACATTCCCTTTTGAATATCGTTTCGGAATATCGAGTTATCGAAAGATCTCCGTTCTTCCTTGAGATGTCGGCGGAAGATTCGAATAAATCTAACTCTAATAAACAAGTAATGACAAGTAACAACGAATCCTTCAGAAAAATATCTCCAATCTCTTGAATCATACGATGTTACTTCGACATTATTGCGCACAGTATTATCTCGAAGAGCGACATGAAGTTCTAGAGATCTTTTCAGTTGCGTTACTACATGAGAAATATGAATCCGAGGCAGATTATCGAGAATATTTACTCAAAGTCATAAGTACTCAAAGTCTGTGCTTTTCAGGATATTGCGACGTTCCGAGAAGCTTCCACGATACTCACTGAAGTACGGACTGATCATGTAGGGGATAACGCCGTTGGGCCATCGTGCGGAGTCGGCTTTGAGGCCGTTCCGCCCGAAGACGGGCGGAAACAGGATGTCACCCTCGGCGTAGTTGCCCAACTCTTCCGGGTTCACGTCCATATTCTCGTGCCATTGCGCCACCTTAAACCCGGTCTCATTGTCGGGCAGTCCATAGAGCGATTCGCCGAGGTGCTGCAGATGGGCGATCAGCCCGTCGGGGTCGTCCACAGCGTTGTCGAAGACGTCCCGTCGACGAAACGGCCAAGCTGACGTTGTCAGGACGAAGAGCAGCCACGTGAGGGCACTCGTCAGCGATCGACTCGACATTATTGTCTGCTGACGACTGGATCGTCTGAATCACGACTGGGTGCTGACTTGACTACTTGGCCACAGCAACCCTGACGATGGTCGCGAATGCAGTGTTCCCGCCGCACAAATCGTTCCTGGTTTTATACGGCGCACGCGGAAAAACTTATGGCGTGCCCCACCTGAGCAGATGAACCCGTCGCTTCCGTAAGGAAGTGATCGGGGCCACCCGGATGATAACCGTGGACTTTGGGTGACGCCGAATCCAGATTTGCACCCGGTATCATTGTCTCTCTCTCTCTCCCCCATCTTTCTCTCTCTCTTTCTCTCTCGCTCGCTTCCGCTCTTTCTTTCTTTCTGATATCTCGAAGGCGCGACATCAAGCCCGGCTGTTAGGCGTTGTCGTGTTGTGAGTCATTAATCCTTCAGACGGCGATTATACTGAGAGGTCGAGTATTCTCGCAGTAAGACTTACGGTATCTACGCACGCCAAATCTCTGGTTTAATTTCGATGACAAGCACGCCAGGTTCGATCGTCCATGTATATTGTCGAGATCCGCTGTTAGAAACGTTGTCGAAGAGATACGAGTCGATTGCCTTCGAGATTCTTCACTGGGATCAAGCTTTCACTTAATCAAGTTAGGATTGTGTCTCAGTAAAGTATACTTTATTGTATAATATATTGTATATGTATATAAAATGTACTATATGATATATTAAGTTATACTTTACTAACTAAGATACCTCTAACTTGATTAACGTCCTAATTCCTTAGCTTTCCTCGATCTTTATAAAAATCGAGTTAAACAAGCCATTGGAAAGATGGCTATTTATAAAAAAAATTAAATTATTTCGCTTGTAATTTGAAAAATTTTTAAAAAGGTGGTAAAATTTTGAAAATGGTGACGCGATAGAAGATTAGAGATAATTTTTATTATACAGAGGATTACACACCGCGTGTCAGCAGTCTTGACCGAGTCAGGAAGAAGGTAGACTAAGTACCGCACACCTTCCAGTAAATATCAATTAACAATAACATCACATCAATGTTATAATCACTCACTTAACAATATAACTGTTACATTACACACACGTTACATTGCATTTACATAGTTGCATGAGAAATTATATTATTTTATTGATAGTTGGTGTTTACTGGGCTATGTGTTTACATTTTTATTCAGCATTGATCCAAACTTACACATCGTGTCAAGTGGTAAAATGAAAAACCTGGAGACAATGGACTGTCATCGGACTGTCATTCCCAACCCGGAGGAAGCGCGAAACCTGTTCTCCCGGCTGGTCGACATTACCGCTCGCGGGGAGCGTCAAGTACGTCGACGTGACGGCATTATTTACACATCGTCGTTCCGTGGTAAGCGTTAATATGTTCAGATCATTCACATGCAAATTCCGCCGTACAAACATTTGTCATCTTTCGTTTCGAAAGAGCCTCTCTGTCGTGCTCGCGCGCAGCTCTTCGGAAGTGCGATATTAAACAGTCAAGGTCGTCGGTTCAATACCATTTGTCATATCGTGATTTCGCGGCGGATAAGATTTTAACGCGAGATACACGATTTACGAGGACAACTCGCGCCGCCTCGCCGGGTTTTTACGTGCGATCGACCGACCTTCTGAGATATAATGATACGAGGATACCCGAATCGTTATACGATGGCACGTTGCGCGATTACATTTACGTAACGAAAACATTAAGTGAGTAGTTATTATATGCAATAAGTGTCGAAAAGAATTTTTTTGTAAGTGATAACGAGCCGCTTACGTTAAGTGAGTAATTATTATATGCAATAAATGTCGAAAAAACTTTTTGCAAGCGATAACAAGCCGCTCACGTGTTTTTCAGTGATTGCCTGTTCACAATTTATATTTATACTTTATAGTGTTCAACTACATGCCGAGAAAATCGCGTTGAAGGGAGCACTAGGGAGAAAAAGTCTACTTCGCATTATCTGAAACCTGTTTGAAACGTATCTAATAGGATGTTACGACTAAATGCTAGGAACTGGTCTGTATAATTACCCTTTTCTATTACGCGAGCGATACGATAATTTTAGGCGGAGACAAATCAGTTTTACGCTTGCTCTATTTACATATGCATATAGATCACATGTCCCGCTGATTCTAAAATCTACATTTGCATAGTATTCAGAAAAGTACTATAAACTAAAACAACTTTTTTCTTAAAAATACATTTCCGCGTTGTACTCGTATATGTATTTTTATTGATTTAATGCTAATTTATTGGTTTAATTGCTTCAATGCCTGTTCAAATTTTTATATTTATATTTTTATAATATATTCTCTGCATTCCCTTATAGAAATATCATACTAAGAATCATTGATAATTACTTATTATCCAGTATTTTTAATACTGAAAATAAGTAATTATCAGTGATTCTTAGTATGATATTTCTATAAGGGTTATTCTCGAAAGGAGTACAAAGCCAGATTGTGCAAACAGATCATCAAAAATTAATGAAATATAAATAAAGTGTCAATTGTACCAAAGTGTCTCGCAACAGAACAAGTTTAGTAGCCTTTGCAAATTGACGTATCCTGATCCATTATATACACCGGCTCATTTTTATAATATATATTCTTTGCATTATCCCTGAACAGGTTACAGAGACAGATTGTGTTATTAAGCCTCCAAAAATTTATAATATATAATATATATTTTAATATATTGTACATTTTTATGATGTATATAGATTGGTCAATTTCTTAAGGTTTAGGGGTTAAATCATCTATTACAGACCGGGACTTCAGAATAAAAGTACGGCTGACTTATCATTGCGTTGTACTACGATCTCGTTTTCGTTTTGTTTTATTTTATTGCAGGTAAAAGGTGACTACGACCTCACTTCTTCGTTAACCCTACAGTTGTCGCATGGGGTCTTTAATAGAATATTATATCCAAAATAGTCTTTTCTTATATTTTACATGAACTCAAAAATCTAGTCAAACAAAGAAAATATTTAAGTTCTCAACATAAAAAATATAAAATAATTTTTCATATTGGGGTCTCTCAAGATACCATGTGAACTCGACCCAAGATCGACTCGTGTTCGAAAAATAGCGCGACGACTGTAGAGTTAAAATCATTAGTGACTCGTAGCGGAAATATTATAAACTAAGTACTTTAGCCGAGATTCGAACCTTCCTTATCATAGACTCAAACCTACAGACTTCTATGGGTGCGTTCCGTTATATGCTTGCAACGCTCGCGAGCGTCATTCTATCTTTGTTGCTCATGGATGTTAAATAAAGATAGAATGACGCTTGCGAGTGCTGGCTTTAGAGTGAGAAAATGTATTATTGCTTGTTTTCATGCTGGATTTAAAGCCGCTGGCTTTAGAGTGAGAAAGTGTATATTTCTCTCACTTCAATATATTACATCAGTTCAGCAGTTAACTAAAAAGAACAGACCACTTATGTTCAGCTAAAACGAACAGACCTGTTGATTCTTTGGCGGATTTTTCGCTCAGCGTTCGTGAAAGATAACCTAAAAACTTTTCTCGCCGGGAAACAGAGTTTGACTCGCACGTGCGTGAATAAAATTCGGTGAATAAGGAGAATTAGTATTCCAGAATGTTTGAGAACGCGTGGGAGGCTGTCAAACAGGCGGCAGACGAGAACAGGCACGAATTGGTGTTAACAGGCGTGTCGGTGTCCAAGTTGATCGAAGAATCAGGCCTGGACAAGAACCTGTTCGATCTTTACAATTTGAATTACCTGTGCATAACTCATACATGTCTCCAAATAGTACCGAACGAAATCGAGAACCTGACGAATCTTACAACCTTGGTGTTGCATTCGAACCTGATCGATACGTTACCAAATACAATCGGCAAATTAATTAAGATCAAACTGCTCGATTGCTCAAGGAATAAATTAACATCTGTGCCACAAGCGTTAGATAATCTTCCTCACTTGAGTACAATGAACTTCAGTTCGAATCTATTACAATCTATACCGTCACAAGGTGCAAATAGTAAATTGAGCATTCTGGATCTATCAAACAATCGTTTAGAAACCTTTCCTGATGTATGCTATGCAGAACTCGCTCACCTGTCAGAGATTTATGTCAATGGGAATCAAATAACAGAAATACCAGCTACTATAAATCGACTTCAAGCTCTGAAAGTTTTAAATATTGCAGATAATTTGATCTCTGGTAACTGAACTTAATATTTCTACCAAAAATTTTGTTTTCATTTAGTTGAATAGTTTAAATTAAATTTTTCTTTAATACATCACACACAAAGGCTAACACATAAATATGTGGATTTAGTTGTTTCAGGTGAAGTAGCAGATTGTGCCAAATTGAAAGAAGTGAATCTAAAAGACAACAAATTGATTGACAAAAGACTCCTAAAACTGGTGAATCAATGTCGTTCAAAGCAAGTGCTCGATTATATAAAATTGCACTGCCCAAAGTGTGAAACATCTACAGAAGTTAACAAATCAAAAAAGGGGAAAAAGAATCAGAAGCTTAGCGAAAGTGAAAATATCAATGTAGTGGATGATTTGACACATAAATTGAAAATCTTGAAAGTAACAGACAGCACGCCTGTAATAAAAATTACAAATAATATAAAGAATGTCAGACCTTATATAGCAGCGTGTATTGTGAGAAATATAAGTTTCACGGAAGCAAGTTTCAAAAGGTTCATTCAACTGCAGACAAAGTTACACGATGGAATATGTGATAAAAGGAATGTTGCTACGATAGCAACTCATGATTTCAAACTGATAGCATCTGGTGGATATATTTATAATTTATATATATTATAATAGTAATTATGTGTGATTTTATATATTCACATAATATTTTGCTTACACATTCCTTTTTTTCCAGGTGATCTCACGTACACGGCGACACCACCGACGGAATTAGAAATAAAACCCTTGATGCGCAACAACACCTGCACAGCGGCAGCTCTGTTCAAACAGTTGCAAACAGAAGCCGAGAATCTACGTAAGGAGAAAAAACGGAATGTATATTCCGGAATACACAAATATTTATATATGCTCGAGGGCAAACCCTTGTTCCCGTGCTTGTTGGACAATTCGCAGCAGGTCATATCGCTGCCACCTATCACAAACAGTGATGTGACGAAGATGTCTCCCTCCACTGAAATAATGCTTGTGGAGGTAACAAGTGCCACTTCGTATACAGTTTGTAGGTGAGACCCATTCCTTCTAATTACCTGTACTCTTCAAAAGAATATATCAATGCATAAACCATGAAAAAATGAAGGGTTTAATTATATATCATATTTTTTATTTGCAGAAATGTGTTGGATGAATTCCTGAAGCAACTGGCAATATTAAACTTTACCGATACGTGCGAACAGAACGATACTGACAAGTACAATAATTTCATTGTTGAGCAAGTCAAAGTGGTCGATATCGAAGGAAATCTGAAACTGGTATATCCTTCAAGAGCAGACTTAAATTTCGTCGAGCATTCTGTCACCATAGTGCGGGACTAGATATATATAACATAATGCTATTCCTGTACAATATTACTTTAACATTATATCAAAAGAATATATATAGATATAAATATAAATGTAAAGAAATATATATTCTAATTAAGTACATAACACATGAATGACATGCAGAGAAACCCTGTGAAGTCGTAGAAACTTAACATAAAAACTTAATAGGACATCACCACATATCAGGATGGTAATAAGTTAAATGATAATGAAGGTGAAATAGACGGAATTGAAAGAGAGCTTTTGCAATTTGCTAGAGATAAATTCCGTCCATTCCTCATCTTCATCTAACTTATTACTATCCTATGATATTTGGTGATGCCTTGTTAAGTTTCTACAACCACAGGGTTTCTCTGCACGTCATTCATACTATAGTATGTCATGTATTTAATTAGAATATATATTTCTTTACATTTATATTTAATATTACAGTATTAATCGTTGATCGATTTATGAGGAACATTTTATACAATTTTATTGAGTTTTTTTTGTTTTACAAATGTGTGAAATTGCATTCTGAATGCAAGTTTGTTTTTCTTTCTGACTATATTCGGATAATCATAGTCGATAAATTTATGATAGAAATTGTGTGATGAAAATTTTCGTTCATCCATTTTGGGAAAGTTACCATTTTATTTATTTAACTAAAACTATACTGATTTTATGTTACTTATATCACTGTGAGATATATTTATTGTCAATTAGTTTATTTTTTTTTAATTTGGTCACTAAGCATTGTGCTTTTGACCTTCCCCGAGGATATTTGTGATCATTTAGCCCTCAATTAGTTTATTTCCGCCACTAAGGTTAAGTTATTCTTTTCCTTGCTTTTATGGAGTTATTCCTGCATACAATTGGTACCTTTTTATTTATAACAAAATAATAAAAGCGGAAATTTTCAGATTACTTTTCTCTTGGATATTTCATAATATAAAGAATCGAGTTCTTTCTACCGCCTCCGTACTTACACCAATCATTATACCAAAGAAAGCGTGTTAAAAAATATCTCGACTTAAGACTCGAGCGATCGACTTGCTTATCACTCGCAAGCGTACAACTACCGTTCTTTCTCTTTCACGAATCTTAACGTGTAGAAGTTTGACAAAATATACTCGAGATATCGTATATTGCGAAAAAAAATAAGAAAAAAAGCGTCGATATTTCTGATTTGTCTGTAAGGCCCGATTTCACCAACGGTCTTAAACGTCGATTAAAACCTCTACCTGAGTTGAAGGCTATATTTCAAAATTCACTGCTATCGCTGAAAAGTTTATCTTACATATATTATAGATTTTCACTATCAGTAATTTTGAAACACAGCTGAAGTCTTCACTCGAAGACAGTTCAAATTCAGATTAAAACTTAGTCGACGTTAGTGAAATAGGCCATAAATCGCGCGCGCACCCGGAAGTGAGAACTTCGCCCTTAAGGGTGAATTCGATACGAACGCAATTCGTATGATAATCGTTAAACGTCCGGCAAGAAGTCGTGGATGAGACTGTCACGGAGGGCAGCGCGTCTAATTTATCGCATTGATTACGATCGTTCGGTTACAGGATGTAGCGGTTATCCGCAGCTTCGAATATCAACAAAAGACCGCCAAGTGAGGCCCCTCGGCGCGATCGGGCCAACGGTGGCGCTGCTGTTCACACGGCGATTCGCCCCGCTGCGTGCCGGCGTTGAATTCTCATCTGTTTTTATAAATATTGTACTTTGCTACGCGTGCCGCGATCGCGTTTCAAACGGTGATCATTCGCCGATGGACACCCTCCCGCGCGTCCACGTTGATCGTGCGCCGTGCAAAGTCACCTCGATGACGTCGCCGGGACAATAAGAAGCGAGTCGGGACGAATTCTCCACGAACTTTCCCAACATGCGCGAGTGTTTGAAGTGATAACATGGCGCCGAAACATGACTGGTCATGATGGGGGAATGAGAGTGCGACACGTTTGAGGTTAGTTTATTATTTTTTTTCTCGTCGAAAGGTCACCGTTGCGGCTATCAGTCGCACCGGTTACTTCGCCGTGCAAACCCGGTGCGATTTGCACGCACATGAAACCCACTTCCGAATAATGCGGTGCCGATCGCGCCCGCGAACCTATACTACCTGTCACGTTTTATAATTAACACGTTGTTTTTGTGCTAGCGCGATATATAGTCGTGCCGCTTTTATGTGTAATCCTTTGCGTCGCTGTTTGGTTCATTGTCAGGCTTCTTTTGTGGAAGACAAGTATAATATTCTAAAGCATCTGACAGTTCTTTGTAATATATTGAGCAAGTTCTTTTATCAGTTTTCTTATATAGACTTCTGTTTAAATTATATATATTGTAAAAATGATAAAGAAAGGTAAAATATTTACTGCTTAGTTACACATGATGTGCTGATATTTTTTATGTCAACTTTGTATTTTGCAGAATTAATACTGACTTATAATAGCATTTTCCATATATTGCAAATGACAGAATGATTTTATATACAGTAGTATGTTCATCAAGAATTTTAATATACAGAAACATTATTATCCTTTGTAGAAGGACTTGGTATCCTAATAACTAGTTTAAGGAAAGAAACTCTTGCAAGTCACACCATAAACTTATATTTTATTCAACATATTGTTTACACTATACAACATTGCCTAAGATTGTGCAATGTTACTACACATATGTTCACTGAAATGTCAGAATATGTTAGATTTCTGGAATTGTTTTGCTATTGGAAAAATACAAAACAGAGAGAGAGAGAGCGTCAAAAATATTAAAACTTATAGTTTCTACAGATAAAAAATAAATATCAAAAATTTTAATAACTGAATAATAACAACTTATTGGTCTAATATAATAAATGCTACAAAATCTTACGTGATACAAACTATTCTAATAGTAGTCTTTTTGTTGATATCGATAACATTCAAAAAATAATAGTTCCTCTGTTTTTCTCTCTTGCAAAAATGTACATATGTACATTTTAGTAGTGAATGATTTGGCCATAGTCTTTGGATTGCATTGAGGAAAGATCGTCTCCTAGGCATTAAGTATTGACTAAATTGGATAGAGATTTCAACTTTGCATCTTTAAATGTCCGCTCTGCTTTCCAAAAATATACTCGGAAATACTTAAACACACGTACGTGTCGGCTTATGCAATAGGAAGATCTGCAAATCACATTCAGTTTAACTAGTAGATAATGCATACACTAAGATATTTAATTGGCTTTAAGTCGCTCTTGACGTTCTTTCACGTCGATGATGCCAAGATTAATGCACGACACGTATCCGTGTAACAAAGAAATAGCAGTCTTGACCAATGCTACTGGAGCACTCAGGCACGCGAGCAACCTGTACAAACCTATACCGGCAACTGAAAAATCAAATGCCACTTTGAGTATACATACATACATTTGTGTGGCGCGTGAAACAAAAGAGAAAGTGAGAGAAAGAAAGAAAGAGAGAGAGAGAGAGAGAGAGAGAGAGAGAGAGAGAGAGAGAGAGAGAGAGAGAGAGAGAGAGAGAGA